AAATGTGTACTTTTATTGTCATCGCATTTGTAGTTATGACAAATAAGTTTGCTCTAATTTAGAGATAAAGAAACAAAGTTTTTTGATTCACCAGGGATTTCCAGACCAACAGCCCTTGGGAGGTGCTTTAAGATTACTAAAAGTTTATACCAGTAGCAGGCATCGCCAGAGCCCATCCCTCCCTAGAGTAGTACACCCTGGTTTTCATATCCCTTTGAAGACTGTTCTGTCCCCAAAAGGTGCTTGTGTCACATCCCTGACTCCAAAGGGTGTTTTAATTTGTTCCCTCTGGTAAATACGTTGCTCTTGAGTAATGTTTTATCCTTGGAAATAGTTTCTTTTGACTTATCTAAAAGGATGTTAGTTTCAATGGACTCTGGGATCCCAGCCCTCATTATTACATGTGGTTTCTACTTAATGGATTCTGTCTCCTCTGTCCCTGATATTTTTTCAAGTTAATTATTTGTAGCAATATCACAATGAATAAAAAGTCCTCAAGGTGAAAAACCGGAATAGTGCCCACAAATAAATGGCCAACCTAATTATGGGTCTGAAATATATGCCGCAAGAAGGTACAATACTGTTTATATATTAATTTTATAAGGTCGTAGATAATGGATCTGTACTATTGTAATCAAACAGAGGACACATGGTACAATCCAAAAGAGAAGCAAATGGGTCCGAGCACTGGAGATTGCTCATGTAAAAGGAAAGGTCAGAATACTTATGCACCATCTACTGGATGGTTAAGCTTTCAAAACCAATGTAATTATATACAAATGAACTGAGATTGATTTAGATGTATTTATTAGGTATGCAAGCATACCTAGTCTTTATATTGGTCATTAGCCCTCAATATGAAAAAGATTCTTCAGTAGATTGTGGTACATTATATGTTAATGAATTTGACTTCTTTTTTTTTTTTTTAAAGGTGACTATTGTGTCACATTCCAATTCATACGGATTAGAGGTTCTCAACCCATAGAAAGCCTCAGAATCACCTGGTGAATTTGTTAACATACAGATTTCTGTCTCTCTGTTAGTTTCTGATTTACTAGACCTGAGTTGGGAAAAAGGAATTATTTCTAATAAGTTTCCAGGATGGCCGAGTGCGATGGCTCACGCCTGTAATCCCAGTTTACTCAGATGGCTGAGGCACGAGAATTGCTCGAGCCGAGGAGGTGGAGGTTGCAGTGAGTCAGAATTGCCCCACTGCACTTCAGCTTGGGCAACAGGGTGAGACTCTGTCTCAAAAATTAATTAATTAATTAATTAATTAATTAAAATAAAAATAATAATAATAATAAAAAGAACTGGTTCCCAGGTAATGCTGATGCTGCTGGTCTATGGGTAGCATTGATACCGATAAAAAAGATATTAGTGTAGCAAATCCCGCAGATACCCTTTATTAAAGCAGTTTCGGATGGTCTGATTTAGCCTGATTCCCCTACCATTATAAAGTGTTCTGTTGATACTAACACACCTTGCTAGAGCACTAATAGTGGCTGAGAATGTCTAACAATTTTTATTTGAGATTTATGTTTTACATAAAATAATACTTGCAAATAATTTTTAAAATCTCATCATACTATGAAGACTATGGTGGTAACCAGCAATCCTCTTGCCCACCTTCCCTGCTTGCAATTTCTGATACCCAGGGGCAACTACGTCAATCTTTTGTTTTCATTCTGTCGTATGACTCCATATTTATAGATAACGTGTATATTACTGTTCTCTATTTTTCCTATTTTGGTTTTATCTACTGCTTTCCCATTAAAGAAAATATCTATTTAACTGTCTTATTCCAGTCTTTCCCTCAACCTCCAGTATAGTTATGTTAGTTAAGCCAATATTCCGGTTAGATTATTCATATCTGAATCAAACAGTGTGCTATGATTAGACTTTCTTTTTTATACATTGTTTTTGTTTCTTATAGCCTTATCAATTGGCACACTTTTCATTTGCTTAGTTTTTAACATATATCATTCATTAATTCTAATCTCTTTGGAAGAACTGTAACTCTCATTTCAAGTTTTTTTTAAAGGAAAGAAGTTGTGTGTGTGTGTGTGTGTGTGTTTTCCCCCACAGAGGCATCGTTTCTGGAGCTTCTCTCCATTCCGTTATGCAGTGGGACTGGAGGATCTCTGAATTTGCTACTATTTTGCCATCTCTCTGCAATGTTGTATTTCTTCCCTCTGTCTCTCATTTTATTTGTTTGTTTGTTTTTCTGTCAGTAGGGTTCCTTTGACCTTCGTTTTCCAAACTGTCTCTTAATTTTTCTCTCCCTGATATCACATTTTTACATTTCAGGAACTCTCTCTGATTCTCTAAATGCTTCTTTTTAAAATTTCTGTATCTCTGAAGGAACTTTCCTTAAAGTTCTTTAAGAAAATTAAATTTAGAATTTTTGAAGTTTTTATCTGCACCTTATATTGCCTCTGTTTTCTTCAAGTTTGGTATGCTTTTTGTTTCTTTTTGGCCTCTTAATTATATGTTAAAGACTCTCCGAAATCCCTGGAAATCCTTTGCTGCCTATTCATACTCATGAGTGAAGTCGTGAAAATAGTGACATGAAGTTCTCTGTATACAGAAGGGCTTGCTAATTAAGCTATTTCCCACATGGTTACTGGGTGTGGACCTAGGAACCAGTAACTGTGTCTCTTCCAGTTGATTTCAATTCTCCAAGTAGAAATTCCTCCATCTCTTATGTAAGGATGTCAGCTGTGGACTGGCAGCTTTCTGGAGGTCTAGTAAAGGAAGATACCTTCATTAACAATGTTTGATACATAGGCTAACATGGAACCAAGATTTTCACTGCAGTTTGACAACCTTATATTCAACTGTTTCTAGTGGCCTGAGAACATACCATTCACGCTCCAGTCTTCCATGGGTGGGAGTACAGTGGATGGCCCTCAGAATTCACTCCCTTGTTTGAGTGGAAGAGAGAACCCAGAAGAGTCTAACTGCCCCTTATTAAAAATGGTCAATCTTTATCTTTTCACCTTTAACCTGACAATCAGATATATAAAATGTCCCCAGTTTGTACATATTTTGAAAATTCAGTGCCATAAAAAATACTTCCTTCCCAGTAGTTCCCAGCTATTTACAGAAACTTTATGTGAATTCTAATATCATCTTTCCTGATGCATCTGATGCTTTATTGTCGTTTTCATTTGACTTCTGGAGAGAGTAAATGTTAACTTTTGTGTTCAATTAACTTTTGTTCAATCTGCATTATATTACTACTTATTAAGAATTTGCTATCTTACATGTATCAAAATAAGGAAAATAGAGTGTCCCTGGTACCCAGAGAGAGCTCACACACTGGAGTTTACACAAGAATACCTCCATGTTTCATGCACTGTAAATGCATGGCTGAGACAAAACATGGGTTATGCATTTCGTATTCATTTGATTCTTTAATACTTTCTATGCATAACTGAGTTCTAAAATTTCTAATTATAAGATGATCAATTCAAAAAATGCTTGACTTTTTAAAATGTTTGCTATATATTGCCAAACCTGTACTTTTCCATTTTCTTTTACTTTTACTATGTCATTTTCTATTTACTTTTCCATAACTTTTGTTTCATCTTCCTTTAAAAAATTATCATCATTCCTAATATTTTATATAAATTCACCATAATCTTTGTATATTTGTCCCTCTTTTTTTCTGAGCTCACCAATATTATGAGCAACAAATTCTTTGAAATATGTAGATTATAGTCACCTGATTGGGAAAATATTTTCTCTGATTTTAACTACCTTTTTTAAGGAAAGAATATTATGCCCCATTTTTATCCTTTCAAAACAAGTATATCTTTTATAAACTATGAAGATAGGCTAAAGGTAGATAATTTTTCAAAAGCATAATGGCTATATTATCTAAAACTAAGAAATAAGACATTTTGTATCTTGAAAAGTCTGTTAGAATAAAATTACCTCACTGAAATTATTCATTTTTTGGCTAAATTGACTTTTTCTTTTTGCTTTCTAGAATTTTATTTTCTTCATTCAGTTGATGTATTACTTATTTCCAAAAAAGAACAAAAGCAAAAATAGTATGTAAATTTGAAAACACTTATTTTACATTATCTTGACTACAAGATTGTGAAGATAAATTTTATTCAAAATGATTATTGTTTCTTATTACCAGAAATAAACACCACAAAAAGGAAGTAGCTTCAGCAATGTACACAGAAATAATTTTCACGTTGACATGATAACATATTAGACTTTGGAAAAGCATGAACTGTATTTTGTGACTATAGTTGATGAATGGGTGATAATTTTAAGTATAAGTGTAAACATGCACTATGTTTCCAGAAATCTAGATGAGAGACAGTATTTAATAGTTTTTAAGAGCACAGTTTTGGTCTTAACAGAACTGGTCCAAGTCCTGGCTCTGCCACTGTGGTTTACCTCAAGTTATTTTAGTTATTTGATCCTCAGTTTACTCAGCAGAAAAATGGGGATTTACAACCCGAGGCTATCATAAGGATTAAAAAAACTTCTATACGCAGAGTATTTAACATAGAACCTGGCACATAGTGAGCATTCAATGAATGGTTGCTAATGTTACTACAAAGCCGTTCAGATATGTTTGATCAAAATAAATAAAACTGTACCAATCCCAAACAAAATTAATTCAATGCAACACCAAAATTGGTAGCACCATCAATATTTACACTTTGGGCAAATAAAAACAGCTCGGCATTTATGCTTACAGGTGACACACTAAATAGTAGTGTCTCTGGATGAAATAAAATAGGGAATGGTAGTTGTTGTGGGAGAGGTGTGCTCTCATTTTAAAGGTTAAAAAAAAGATTTAAAATGTGTATAAATCTGGTCACCAGCGATAGCTTTCTTTTCACTATACACAGAGGATTCACTTATTTAACAGATATTCTTTGATTGCCTATTATGTGCCCGGCTGTGTTTACCTACCATGCAAAAGGAAATACCTCCTTTTTATGCTTGAATACTTTCCTTTTCCACAGACATTTCCACTGGGCCTGGGAGATGGGCAATTCTATTCATGGACAGATGGTTTGAGAAGAAAGGACTGGCATGACTATGAAAGCATTCAGAAAGAGGCTATGCGCTCAGGTATGAAGTTCAGTGTACGCCAAAGTGCTACTTCACTCGCAGCAGTGTCTCATTTGTCACGTAAAGGATCTCTAATTAGCATTTCTTCTGCACACAGTAAAGTATGTTTCATGGGGATATTGGAGGTGATACTAGACAGAACCTAAGTGACTTCAAATTTCAGAGAGAAAACAAATAATGAATAGTCTTTTTAATATTAGCTGCAGTAAAAGTCATTAAAATTTAATAAATATATAGTACTGTATATTCCCAACTGCTTGTTAATAATTTCTAGGGGTATCCTGGGATTTGTCAACGAGACTTGACCTGGTAGATATGTATCTTGAGCAAGATTCACTCCTTAGAGCTGAAGTGTATCTAACTGGCAATGCGAAGTATTTCATTTCTACCAACATTTCTAGACACTGGCAAGACGTACAGCAAGCCAGCAGGTCAAGCAGATGGGTTTCTAAGGTTGGCAATAGTTGGAAAAGCAATCAGGCAGTTAAATGGAATCAAGTAGGTCTGTTTATTTGTAGCAGAGTTCTAGACTTGTGCTAGAGTTAAAGGACAAAGTAGCAGGAAAGAATAAGTCTTTACACTTTGGGAGGCTAAGGTGGGCAGATCACGAGGTCAGGAGATCGAGACCATCCTGCTAACATGGTAAAACCCCATCTCTACTAAAAATACAAAAAATTAGCCGGGCCTGGTGGTGGGTACCTGTAGTTCCAGCTATACGGGAGGCTGAGGCAGGAGAATGGCCCATGAGGTGTAGCTTGCAGTGAGCTGAGATCATGGCACTTCACTGCAGCCTGGGCGACAGAGCAAGACTCCGTCTCAAACAAACAAACAAACAAACAAACAAAAGACAAGTCTTTCTAGAAGGACTTAAAGATTAGGTTGTTGTGAACAGAAATTCAGAAGGGTATATAAGTAGAAATCCAGTGAAAGTGAGTAACTCATGATAGGAAACCCATATTCTTTTGTTCAGCCAAGTAAGTTATTTTCTCAGTGAGGATGTCACAGAAATAGAGCAGCTACAGTTTGGTAAAGACATCTCAGCAGCCATGAGACACTGCATTCAAGGTCAAATCAGCAGCAGAATTATGACTAGCCACGGTGTGAGGTCCTCTTACTCAACTAGAGTTAGGAACAAAATTGTTCTGGGCTGTGAAATGTTCGTAGCTCTGTATCAGGTATGGCTGACTTAATTACAGTCTTTTTTATTTTCTTCCATTCCTTTTCTTCAAAAAAAGGCCTGCCCCATGCCCTATCCTCAACTTTATTAAAGCGGCTTATTCCAAAGATGTTCCCTGTTTTCAGAGAATCAACTTCTTCCAGGTTCTATCATCTTTCCACGTTAGGCAGTGACCCCATGAATGGTCGTGAAAGTGAGTTCCTTACCAGCATCCTCACTTTTCTAGTACTTTTATCTTTTTCCTCTATTGGCTCAATCAACCCTGTATTAATCCAACTACTTGTTTCTCCTTATGACCCCAGGATGCTGAAGTTTTTTGGAATGTTTTCATAATCTTACCAACTGAATCTTCCACAAGTTAATAATAATAATAAAATTGCCCAAATTTATTGAATGCATGTTTTCTACTAAGTACTTTGCATATGTATTTTATTTAAATCTCAGAATAACTCTGATAGGTATCCCAAATTAAATAAAACTGAGTTCCTATGAATTTATTAAATTTTATCCAAGTTCAAGCAGCTAATAATTTCCAGCTCTGGATTAAGAACCAGGTCTTATCATGGTCCATTATACTCCACTGTTAAATCATAATATTTGGACAATATGGAGTAATGGCAAGGACACAACAGGAGAAAGACACACCTAGGTTCAAATCCTAGCATTTCCATACAGGCGCTGTGGTGAATCGATTTCTGTTTCTGATATTCTACTTTGTAGAATTTATTTAAGGATTAAAGATAATATACCTACAGTAATTGTCCAATTATTTGGACATATTGGAAACTCGACTAATGATAACTGTAATTATTAATCCATCTAAGTTACTTTAACATGAATTGGCATGCCTATCCTTTGCTTGTACTAATGAGTTTTGAATACAAAATCCAGTGCTTCACATTTATATATGCTTCATACCACCCTTTCCACCTCCTGAATAAACTTGTCTTTTCTATCTTCATCTTTGCTTGGACCAAGGGAAAACTGATCTACAAAAGAAATTGGTAATATCACAAGTTTTTAAGTACAAATTCTTTGTGTAATTAAAAAGCTTTTAAATAGTAGAATTTTTTTTTCACTGGAGGATATATGATAAATTTATACACTAAAATTTATTATTTTTATACAATGCAATATATCATAAAGAAAAATGTATTAAAACATACATGTGTGTACACACACACTCAGGTACAGAGTCAAAATCAAATAACATCTGTGTATTTCATATATAGGACAAGAAAAAGGATCATTTGTGCCATTAAAGTCCAAGACTTTAATTTTGTGTTTACTCTATTATTTTTCTCTGTAGTTTTTACTGCCAGTGTATTTATCCTGAATCAAATACTAGTAAGTTTTGCCAGTGTTTGACCTTTATCTAAAAATTTAATTTTACTGTATGACTTTCTTCTTTCACTCAAAAATATTTTTGAGATTTATCTAGATCAATGCGTGAAATGTTGGTTCATTTTTACTGTTGTTAAATTTTCTGTAACATTGTCCTCTTGGTGGGCCTTTGAATAGTTTTAGTTGTTGTGTATAATGCTGCTATAAGTATTCTTGTGCATGGTTCTGGGGTAGAGACAATATTTTATTAAGGTACATATTTAATAGTAGATTTGTATGTCTAGAGAATGCACAGTTGAACTTTATTAGGGCATGACTAGCTGCCAAAATTGATACACCAATTTCATTTCAATCAGTAACGGATAGAATTCTCATTGCTGTACATCCTTGTGAATATTTGAAATTGTCTGACTTTTTCCCCAAATTTGGTGATATGAAATAGTCTCTCACTGTTACTTAGATTTGCATTTTATTAATGCAAACACATTAAAATGTGGTTGATATCTTTTTTATGCTTTTGGGCCATTTGTTCTCCCTTTTTGGTAAAGGTCCTATTCATTTCTGTTTCCATCTTTTGAATTATTTGCTCCACACAGTGTTCTTGATTTATTTTAAATTATATCCTTTGGTGGTTATATTTAGTGACAAGAACTTATCCTACATTTTGTAGACTATTTTAAAAAATCTCTTTATGTATGGTTTAATGAATAGTTTTCAATTTTGAGATAGCCAAATTCAGCAATCATTTGTAAAAGATAGGTCATACTGATGTTCTATATTGTCTTTTAAAAATTTGATAATTTTGGCTGGGCACAGTGGCTCACACCTGTAATCCCACACACTGGGAGGCAGTGGAGGGAGGACTGCTTGAGCCCAGGAGTTTGAGAGCAGCCTGGGAAACATAGTGAGACCTCATCTCTACAATTAAAAATATATATGTATTCTTCCAGGTGTGGTGACATGTGCCTGTAGTCTCAGCTACATGGAAGGCTGAGGCAGGAGGATCACCTGAGCCTGGAATTCGAGGCTGCAGTGAGATATCCAGCCTGGGCTGGAAACCCTGTCTCTAAATAAATAAATAAATAAATAAATAAATAAATAAATAAACTTGATAATTTCACATTTTACATTTGGGTCTTAAATCCACCTAGTGAGGAGGACGGAGCAAGATGGCCAAATAGGAACAGCTCCAGTCTCCAACTCCCAGCGCGAGCGACACAGAAGACCGGTGATTTCTGCATTTTCAACTGAGGTACTGGGTTCATCTCACTGGGGAGTGCCGGACGATCGGTGCTGGTCAGCTGCTGCAGCCCGACCAGCTAGAGCTGAAGCAGGGCGAGGCATTGCCTCACCTGGGAAGCGCAAGGGGGAAGGGAAGCCCTTTTCCTAGCCAGTGGAACTGAGACACACAACACCTGGAAAATCGGGTAACTCCCACCCTAATACTGCGCTTTAAGCAAACAGGCACACCAGGAGATCATATCCCATGCCTGGCCGGGAGGGTCCCACACCCACGGAGCCTCCCTCATTGCTAGCACAGCAGTCTGTGATCTACCGGCAAGGCAGCAGCGAGGCTGGGGGAGGGGCGCCCGCCATTGCTGAGGCTTAAGTAGGTAAACATAGCCGCTGGGAAGCTCGAACTGGGTGGAGCTCACAGAAGCTCAAGGAAACCTGCCTGTCTCTGTAGACTCCACCTCTGGGGACAGGGCACAACTATACAACAACAAAAGCAGCAGAAACCTCTGCAGACACAAACAACTCTGTCTGACAGCTTTGAAGAGAGCAGTGGATCTCCCAACACGGAGGTTGAGATCTGAGAAGGGACAGACTCCCTGCTCAAGTGGGTCCCTGACCCCTGAGTAGCCTAACTGGGAGACATCCCCCACTAGGGGCAGTCTGACACCCCACACCTCACAGGGTGAAGTACACCCCTGAGAGGAAGCTTCCAAAGCAAGAATCAGACAGGTACACTCGCTGTTCAGAAATATTCTATCTTCTGCAGCCTCTGCTGCTGATACCCAGGCAAACAGGGTCTGGAGTGGACCTCAAGCAATCTCCAACAGACCTACAGCTGAGGGTCCTGACTGTTAGAAGGAAAACTATCAAACAGGAAGGACACCTACACCAAAACCCCATCAGTACATCACCATCATCAAAGACCAGAGGCAGATAAAACCACAAAGATGGGGAAAAAGCAGGGCAGAAAAGCTGGAAATTCAAAAAATAAGAGCGCATCTCCCCCGGCAAAGGAGCGCAGCTCATCGCCAGCAACGGATCAAAGCTGGATGGAGAATGACTTTGACGAGATGAGAGAAGAAGGCTTCAGTCCATCAAATTTCTCAGAGCTAAAGGAGGAATTACGTACCCAGTGCAAAGAAACTAAAAATCTTGAAAAAAAAGTGGAAGAATTGATGGCTAGAGTAATTAATGCAGAGAAGGTCATAAACGAAATGAAAGAGATGAAAACCATGACACGCGA